CCCAATGGCGTCCGTTGGAACCCCTACCGCGTCGGATGAAACCCTAACCCTAGCGTCCTCCCATCAGCACTTCAGCCCCTCGAGCCACTCCAGCGACACGAGCGTATCAGACATATATCATTGCGGGTGAAAATGTACCACCAAGCCGTCCCAGCTGAGCTTGATGGGCGGGATGTAATGTGCGACGTTTCGAGCAGCATCTTCTCGAAGGGAGGGATATGAGCGGCGAAGTCGAATCGTCATGTTGCTCTCATTGTCCTGTTCGTCCCAGATGTGTGACCACCAGCGGACACCGCCGCCTTCTCCGGTGCTATGCGGGTGTTTGGATGTTTCGTTCGCAGTGGACGTTTGGAGATGCGGGTCGAGCTGAGCAGCCAGCATGCCGTTCCTCCAAGTGTCGACGAGCCGCTGTGTGGTGGAGTGCTCTATGCGATGGGTGAAGTCGGTGAGTAGCCCAAGCACGGGCGGAGGCGAGAAGGAGGCGAAGAAGGAGAGAGCCTGCGAGAAGGAGAAATGCGAGAGATGACGGTCCATCTTGAGGGCGTCCATGACGATGGCCTGACTGCCGCGCATGAGTTCCAAGGTTTCCGGGGGAATGCTATGACAGTCGCTGATGTAGCTGAACGAGTCGATGCGGAAGCCCAGGCTCCAAAAGGGCGAGGAGCGGCCGATATAGCCGTGAAGGACGGGAAGGGGCTGAACTCGAAGCTCTCTACGGCCTTGCGAGGCTGGAATGGTGAAGGAGGAGTGCCTGTCGATGATGTTCCAGCGGAGAGTGGGTACGTCGCCGCCGCCGGTGGATTTGGAGCGGTCGACCAAGTATGGGAACATGCCCGCAACTACTTGCATGCATTCTTCGGTGAGATAGATGTCGACGTGTCGCTGAATGACGCCACCCATGGTCCATGCGCGAAGGTCGTCGAGTCCGAGGATGGCATCGGCGTGGGCATGCGTGAGCAGGACGGCGCGAATGGAGCGGATGCCGTTCTTGGGGAAATGGACGATGGCATTCGAATAGAAGGTCTTGCCGCAGTCTATGAGAATGGTACTGTCCGTAGAGTCTTGCGGATGTCGCCCGACGATGGCAGCTGCAGTGCATCCTCTCCGATTCTTGCCCGTAGGATGACGAGTGGCATCCTCGCAAGCCGCACAACCGCCAAAGTCGGGTTGGGTGACGCAGTGGATCGCCGGCACTTGTCCGCTGGTTCCCGTGCCGAGGAAGAGGACCTTTTCGATCCAAGAGGAGGCTGGCGATGGCCAGGAAGCCTCTTGTGATGTGGCGTTGCTATCCATGCCACGAGTTTGATGCGCACGGATGAGAAAAGGCAGTCCTGAAGAAGAGCGGAATCGGTCATTCGATCCGCGTCAAGTCGGGATGTCCGGAACTCGGGACGCAGATGCGAAGAAGTGGAGGCCGACTGCGTCAAACGCCGACGACTCAGTTCGTGCGGAGCTCGACACCGAGACGGCCAGCCAGCTCACCCTTCTTGGCCTCTTGCCTCCGTGTCTGCTCCCTCACCTCCATATTTGCTCCTCAGTCGACATCGACGATCATGACTGCACGCATTCGCGCCCGCGCTCTGCTGCGAACTGCTAGCCAGGCGCCAGCGGCTGTCGCCCGCACACGATTGCCCACACAGTCGTTGCTTGCGAGCCCCTCGCCAATTTGCAAAACTGCAGTGCGCCGCTATGCAGTGCCTTCCAGCTTTCGTGTGCCGGACGCCGCAGAGCTCGAGTCTTCCGTTCGCCGTATCTTTCCATCGGCACGATACTCAGACTCAAGCGCAAGTACCATCGACTACGACCAAGCATGCTCACTGCTGACCAAACTGCTCATCCAGCTGCGCACCACCGCCGATCTCCCCTCGGCCGCAGATCGAGAGGCCTATCAAGCCTCGGTCGACAACGACATCATCTCGAATGCCAAAGCTTGGGGTGTCGGCTCAGGTCATCTCACTGAGCTCGCCAATGTGCTCCTCTCTGCATCCTCGGATCCGCGTCGACAGCCACTCGCTTTCCGCCTCTTCGAAGTCGCGCATCAGTTTGGCTCCGACGATGCCGGCTACTTTTGGGCCAGCATGGTGCTGCAGAATACCGCGCCTCCGCCTCCCTCGGGCGATGCCAAGGCGAGAGTGCAGCGTGCCTTGTCCCTCTATCAAGAGCTCTCCGACGCAGGCAACGCCCGCGGCTCGGTCGGCGTCGCACGACTTCTGCTGCAGCGCATCCAGCGCGGTCAGGTCGACAAGGCACAGTGGCCCGCTCTCATTCAACAAACGGTCAACCTCTATACAAAGGCGGGAGATAACGGTCTCGCAGAAGCATGGTACGACCTTGCCACCCTCTTCCAGGAATCGCGCTTCAATCCACCCGATCCGAGCCGCGCGAGAGCGTATCTGGAAAAAGGTGCCGAGCTTGGCCACTCGGGGTGCTTGTTCGCGCTTGGCATGCAGCACCTGCTGGACGAAGAGGCGGGCGACAAGGCACAAGCCTTCGACCTCTTCAAACGCGCAGCCGAACAGGGCGACGCGCAGAGCATGTTCCAGGTCGGCTCGTTCTACTTTCTGGACCGCGACAAGCTCGCACAGCATCCCGATGTCACTGGCGGAGACAAGACCATGAAGCAGGCGCACAAGGACAGCTTTGGCGTCGATCCGGACGACGTCGAAGCTCGCTTCTGGCTCGAACAGTCGGCTCAATCCGACTATCCACCAAGCATCTTGCAGCTGGCCACCTTGCTCGGTCAGCATCGCGCGCTCGACCCCGGCGCTCATCAGAAGCGCGGCCTTCGCACCATCGACAAGACCCAAGCCGACCAGCTCTCGTATGCCCTTTTGGCCAAGCTGCTCGCCATCCTCAAGACGTCCGGCAACCTGCCATCTCTTCCTTCGCAGAAAGGCCAGTGGTCCAACAGCCAGTTCCATGCGCTCATCCCGCACGCCCAGGCCATGTACGAAAAGCTTGAAAAGAAGCTCGGTGATGCTCCTAATGATAGCGCCCTCTGACACTCATGGCTCGCTACGTATCCACTTTCCAACCGCCAACTTCTCACTGTTCGTCTTACGAGCTGTATCGTTTCAAACAGGGCTGCACGATGCGAATTGGTATAATCCATCGATCTATACTCCAGCGATGAGGATCCATTCGTTGCTCTTCACGAGCTTTGAATCACAGATTGGCGTGCAGATGAGATGGCCTTGTCGAGCCTGCCATCGCAATCTTGTAGCAGGACCGAGTTGTCGAGTGCCAGCTTACGCAGAAGAGATGGCAGTTTGTTGAAAGGTCCGGGGCCTGACACCTTCTTGGTCGGATGCGTGACCCAGTAGAAGGGTACGAGCTTTCCAAACTCCAGAGTTGCTGGTCGCGAAGGGAGGAGTAAGACAAAGTGGAGAAGCTCGAGCTGCAAGCCAGCAAAGGCATGACCACTCGAATTGGAAGCCGCCTCCCAGAGGTTGCGTGGAAGACCCGACAGCAGGGTCTGAAGAATGCGATCGCTTTCCGCCTGGGTGAAGGGGGTCTGAGCCCGCAGCTTAGACAGAAGATAGGCGCGAGCGAGGAATTCAAAGAGGATCGGCTTGACTCGGTGCTGCGTGGAATATGCTTGATAGGCGGCGAGAAGGCTGTCGAGCAAAGTTTCGTGCTCCGCACCAAGCAGGAACCACAACGTCGGCAAGAGTGCATGGAAGGTATCGGCGTCAAGCACACTGGTGGCCGAGCCACTCACGCTGCCAAGCGAGACCGTGCCTTGCTCTGTGACTGGCACCGCGAGGAGCTCCGAGACGAAGGCTGCGACAGCAGAGACTTGAACGTCGACGTTGAATTTGTACCTGGCCTTTTGAGAGTCTGCCGCGTTGATGGCGAAGAGCGCGGCGAGCTCGGCATAGGCGAGATCCATCTGCACGACGAGCGACTTTGCCTTGTGCGACAGAGTGCTGGTGCCAGTGTGGCTGCTGAAGGGAAAGTAGATGGAAGCGTGGCCGAGCAGGTTTGCGAGCGAGGTGCGCGCTTTTGATGTGGGGGCCGACGCGCCGCGCCAGAGAGAGAGCAGAAGCTGGATGATCTCAAAGATGAGTTGGGAAGGCGTTGAGAGTCCAACGTTCTGGCCCCGCACCTGATGGGAGAGGTCGAGGTCGGGCTGGAACGCCGCTGGAGCCGTGTCGAGGAAGGAAGCGAGCAGGATAGGGTCGAGCAGCTCGTACAGCGCCAATGCTGCCGATTGAGCAGCATGGGAGCCCGACGAGCCGTTGCCAGCGGAAGCCGATAAGGAGAGGGCAGCCTGCAGAGAAGCGTAAAGGTCGGACTGCTGTACGGATGTGCCGGAAGTGGAGTCGAGGTCCATCAAAGTCGAAATTGACATCTCGCTGTCCTTCCAATGCGGAAGAGAAGCTTGAGTGGTGGAGCTTGAGTTGACATCAGGGTGCGAACGATCCTTGGCTGCAGACGCGAAGACGGAGAGGGTGCGAGTGCGATTGGAACTCGTGTGCTTGCCGAGCAGGGATTCGAAGTGCTCAAACTCGGCTGTAGAAGGGAAGGAGGAGCGGAAGAACCAGGTAGGGCACCTGCACGGATGAGCATCGCCGTCGCTTGAGGTGGCGGGAAGGGCGTGTGAAAGGAAAGTCCTGAGTGACCTGAGGATGAGGAGTTTGGCTGCGGGAGCCAGGTCCGTGGCAGTGATGGAGACGGCGTTGCCTGATCTGCGTGTGACACCGAGGAGGTTGAGGAAGCAGTTCATGATCCTTTCTCCATGCGGCTGATGTGCTGAGGTGCTGGGTCCTGCGGCGACCGGATTGGCCGCCGTCGAGGTGCTGGCCTTTGACATGTTGAAAACGGCGTCTTGCCAGCCTGAGGTTGCGGTGTGGGGCAGAACATCGAGGCAGACGTCGAGCACTTTGATTGCGTCCAGCCGCACTTCTGGGTAGATGTGGCTAAGTGCCGAGGTGGTGTAGAGCAGTAGAGTGTTGTGGTATGGTCCGAGCAGCTGTTGCGGGATCTCGGGCAGCATCCATGCCAAGAGGAGGTGCAACTGTTTGCGTACTGTGCCGTCATCGTCACCGATGCAGCGGGAAAGCTCCGGTATGAGCTGTGGCGCGGCCGACAGCATCAAGCTCGGATGGAGCGTGAGAATCTCTTTGATGCCTGCGACCGCATCCCTTCGCACGCCCGCCGAGTAATGGCGGAGTTGGAGCGCGAGATCCGCTACAGTGAGGTTGCGCGAGTTGACGAGCTTCCCCGACTTGTCGGCATTGATCGACTGCTGCGGCAGAGCGATCGTCTTGGCCTTGAAGGAGGTGTCGGTCGCATTGTTGGCGGCTTGCTTCCCTTTGCCTAGCTTGAGCTTGGTTTTCTGTTGCACGGCGACGCCGAAGGGGGCCAAACATAGGCTCTGCATTAGTGACCTCACGCTTCGGAAGCGACTCGAAGATCATTCGTCTGTGACTCGACACTTACTTGGAAGTCTGCCTTCTTCTCCTTCTGCCGCTTTGATGCCTTTGGCATTGTGGTGTAACTGTGACGATGCGCAGAAGCAAGGATGCAGACGGTTGAGGTCTCGGTTCAACGAGCAAGACCCCTCGGAAGTTCCGAAATATTTTTGGCCGCACCCTTTCGGTGGTCTTCCGACTTCCGCAAAACCACACTCTTTGCTGCAGTCTGCAGTGCCGTCTAGGTGGAGACCTTTACCTAAGGCTCCTGAGCTGCGTTCTATCCTTCTGCAGTCACATCTGATCCTGTGATTGCCATCTTCCGTGATCACTTCGCGACACACTCTCGAACTCTAGCTCCGTCTCGAACTCTA